GGCCGGGGAACGGCGTCGCTCCGGTTCCGTTTCCTGGGACTGGGGCAGCAGCGGTTTGCAGACTCTGCGCTTCATGCTGCGCCGGGGGTGTTCGAAGTGCTACGTAAAATAACGTTTGCCAAGCCCAGCATGATGCTCCTGAAATGAGGAGAGAAAAAGAACCATGGAGAAAAAAAGGTAGGATGTACCGGAAAAAGAGAGTCTTGCATTTTGCCTCTTTGTACTAAAAAGTTGGAGGTGTGACTAAATAGCCAAACCACCTACACTCCAAAGATGCCACCCAATCGCTGCCTGTGTGCTTTCCAGAACTCCTCCCCTCTCGTTTTGACTAAGCGGAGACCTTTAGAGAAACTGCCTGTTCTAGCTCATGCAGACTGTAATATATAAAAGCTGTTAGCAGCTCCAGTGGCCAGAAGCTTCAAAACCAGCAGAGTTTTGTTCTTTGTGGGTTTGTAATAAGAGACACTTCTTCACAAAGTTTCACATCATCATATAGGACAGTGCTATATATACTGGGAGAACAATAGACTACTCTTTTTTTTTTTTTTTTTTCTTGGTATTATCCAGAGGTAAGCCATTCAGCTCAGTAAGTTTGCTTTGCATGCAGTTTTATCAATGCTCATCACATTTTGCTGAAGCTAAGATTTGAATGCTATTTCTAAGATGTTCTGCTTTCATGCTTTATATGTTGTCTTGTCTACTAGTTTATTCCACATTGTCTCAAAACAATCCACACAGATAGGATAGCCATAGCTTAGGATGTATTTTTCATTTGCAGTGGAAAACATCCTGTGAGGTTTCTTGCAGACTTCTCAGTTAAGATTTATATTGTGGTTTGTGGACTGATCTGGTGTGACAGTGCTGTTAACTATTTCAGGAATACCAATAGCTCTGATCATGTAACTCATAATGATACTTCGTTTGGTATGTTTGTAGTAAGAACATATTATTACGTAATATGGTTATTGAAAATTGCTCAGTAACGTGTTCTGACTAGATAGTTTTTATGATTGAGCTGACAGTAAGTCTTCTGATCACAGTCTGCCAATTCACTTTGTCTTGCTACCCACGTGTACAGAATCACATCTTTGACATCTTCTCTTCTACAGATCTGTTCTCTACTGCCCTGACTTAAAGCAGAGTACCTTTGTGGGCTGTCTCTCTCCTTTGGCCCAAAATGACAGTAATTGCTGCAATCAGTTGTGCTCTCTTGTTTTTCATTCTCTGTGAAACAAGTGTATTAGTGTTGCCCAAGTCCACTGACCTACTCCTGTCAGACAGTAATGTCACTGACATTGAGAGGGCTTTGGCAGCTCCTCTGGACTCCGTGGGCATTCCCAAAGCCAGACGGAAGCGCTACATTTCGCAGAGTGACATGATTGCCATTCTCGATTATCATAATCAAGTCAGAGGCAAAGTCTTCCCACCTGCTTCCAACATGGAATATATGGTAAGTGAACTTTGTTTATTTCAGAGTAAAACAAACTGCAGGTCAGTGACTTAGTTTTCTTAAACAAATTGTGAGGGTTTAATTAAGTAGATAAATTATTTTTAAGTATTAATGCTTACTAGAATGTTCTTTCATTTTTTAAGTTGTAATAACTTGAGCAAGCAAAAGCTAAATACTGAACTCTGAACCCTTTACTTGCCCTGTTGAAGTTTCATTTCTGTGAGTAGTCACAATGGAGCTTCAGGGACCCAAGTAAATGAAGTTGTGAGTTAACTGTTGGCCTGAGGAGTAGTTTGTGATCACAGCATCCAATCCCATGTGTTTAAAGTGCTGGTTGCTTGCAGCCCCATTGCATTTTGGAGTACACTGAAAGTCATTGCCGTTATGTATGCAAAAACATAGCCAATTACTACTTCTAATTTCTTTCATGCATAATACTGGAAACAATATGGTAAAAATGTGTTTGCAAAATAATTAATCTGATGCACTCTTTGTTTCATGCTCATGTGCTTTACTTGCTGCGTATTGTTGGTGTGCACCTAATACTTTTATTTTTCCATCAAATACAATGTTGGTTTTAAATGTTCCTCTAGTATTTCAGTGTGATCAAAACATGATGTTTGTGGCAGGCACATTTTCCCCTTATTGACAAATACTCATTGTGTGAATTATCTGTTCTTGCAGTTATGACAGAAGTTACTCATTCACTGTGATTTGGTACTTGTCACTACTAGCTAAAGCAGCACGTTTACTACTTTGTGTTCCAGCTTTGAATGCATGCATACTGTGGAGTTCTAATGTTAAACATAAGTTCACCAAACAACATTTTTTTACAGTCTAAGTAAGGTTTTCACACTGCTCTGAAAGCACAGACAGGTTGTGTCAGCACCATAATATCTCCTTAAACTCATAGTTTCTCCTATGTCAACAGATGGTTCGCAGGTTTGAGAAACAGGACACCAGCAGCTTGACATAAAAAGGGGGTAATTGTAATAACAACTCCGGATTTTTAGCAGCTAATGACTAACAATTTGGACATCATTCTATCACAGATCTTACCTAAATCTGGATTTCATCATATAGTCTTCTTAGCACATCCCAGCAGCACCTCAGAATGCTGACTGCACTCAACATTTCAGGATGAAGGTCTGTTGCCATGCCATAGGCAAAGTTTGAAGTTTGTTTAACTGGATAGGTCAGAGACAGAAAAAATAGAGAGGTCAGAAGTCAAGGTCAGTCATCGTTGTCATTGCTGTGCTCTCCACTGACATTTCCTTTGATTCTGCATAAATAAACTTAATTGTGATGTCTGTTGAATGGCAGCCTACCATGCCCTTCCTTGGCTTGTGTGTTTTAGAAATGTACTCCAGCAGTTTGCTTGAGTGAAGCCAGCACCCCGTCATATTTCCAAATGTTTTTTAAGTGCAGTACTGTTAGCCTGTTCATTGAAAAAAAAAATAAATTAAAAAGGGAAAGCAAGCTTCCTTGATTAGATCTCTTTTAATGCACTCATACGCATAAATTGCCAAGATTTTACCTGTATTGGTTGGGTATTCTGGTGCAGCTTTGCTCTGCAATGATTCTGTGCACGGTTTGATACAAAATGAAGACTGAAGCCATGCTCTTTACAGCTACATGCTACTCTTTTCCTTGCCTTTCTCTTGCTTTTAGCAGTACCAGCCAGCCATGGCTGCAGGCTTGTAGCCATGGCATCATCTCACTTCTGTACAGCTCCATGTGCTTTTTTTCCCTACTGGTGAGAACTCAGGGTTCAGCTGTACTGGTTGGTTCTTGTGATTCCAGTTCTTCATGCCCCAGCTTTTCTGCGGCTTTTCTCCTCAATCTGTTCTGCTCATCCCCCTGAAGCAGCCTGCTTCTCACATGTACAGTGCATTTATAGATACCTGGAATTTCTTGGGCCTTGTCCGCCCCTCCTATCTAGAAAGTTTGTGTGCTGTAGGACTTTGGATGGGAAGTTTCAAGGAATTATTTTGAATGCACACGTGTTAGGCAGGGGAGGTTCAGATGAACATTGCAGTAACAGAACTGGGGGAGTGTTTTAATTCTTTTTGGGAGAGGTGTGTCCGAGTGCTGCTCCAAGCTGTTGTTGAGTGCAGTCCCCAATGACAGTTGGCATCTGGGAAGTCAAAAAACACTGGGAAACATTATTCTGTTA